AGCACCTTCAGGTAATTACATACTTGTTTCATTTTGGGGTTGTCTCCATGACACCAATGCTCCTAGGTAGGCTTGAGCTGGGCACTTTGGAGGGATATTGTGGCAATTATTCGCATGGGAACCAGAGGAGTTATTTTTCTGGAAACGAAGTGTTTATGACCAGGTCTCATAGGAAAGAGGATCCTGATCTCTCAGAGGAGGGAAGGATACGCCTGCTAACAGTCAAACAGAAGGGGGATGAGACCAGACTGCGGTTTGACCCACTCTGTAAGTCAGATAGAGAGACAGGTGTGGGTGAAGAGCTGGGTGAAACTAGGTGTGATCATAATGGGACTCAGGAATTTGGCAGAAAATTGGAAAAAAATTCAAGAACTCAGAATCTCCTGTATGAATGGATAAAAAACAATCCTTTCCCATTTTTACTCAACTCTAAAAACACAACACAACTCCATTGATAGGTGCAAGACCAAAGACCCCTGGCAAGGTTTTGAATAGGTGGTTCATGTAATTAGGTACAGACTGAAGGTGGCCAGTGCTGTGACTCATCGTTTCAGTGGCCATTGAAATCACCAGAGTGAGTGGTCCCTTCACTGTCAATGTAGCCATTACTCCTTACTTTTGTGGAAGAGTTGGACTTCCATCATTACTAGGCATGATTTACAATGACCATTTCCTTCCAAAACATTGTTTTGCATGTATTACTGAAAATATTACTGAGAGTTATCAGACCCTGTGACACTGTTTATCTGATGTCAGGTATAGAAGTATAGAAAGATCTTTTTTTTTTCAACCTTGATCTGTTTTGAAACATTGAATTTCAAGCAACGGTTGTGCAAGGCCAGGTCAAAGGACCAACATCTGGAATAGTGCTCTACAACTCGCCAGAAGTTACGGTCATGCAATGGAGAAATAACTCAGTTAAGGGTGTTGTCAAACTCAAGCTCTACAATGCATATAGATTTCATTATAAAAATATTATTCCTTAAAAAAATACATAAATGTAAAATATTCCTTTTCTTTAGCTTCTCCTTCCTTCCACCCCTATTAAACTACTCATCCTAGACTACAATGAATGGACATAACCCCTTAGCTACAGCCCAAATTATACCATTTGAGTCCACATCTCTAGCTTTTCCGAAGCAATGCCAATTGTGCTTAAAAATATGCTCCCAGCTGCAGATAGAGGATCCACAAGTGTACTTTCCCCATAGTGGGAGGCACCGGGAGGGAACAAGACAGAAGGAAGTCATGCACTCCATGTGGCCTGCCCCAGGAATGTCAGAGTGCCATTTGCAGGCTCTGATGGGAACACACAAGTATGTTTAGTTGGAAGAAGGGCAGAGGAAAGGGCCAGGCCATGCCCTATATAGCCCTCTGGGCATAGCTGCAACATTCTGCCTTGAGGCTCCAGGGATAAAATTCCCAGCTCTGGGGAAGGTTGGCAGGAGTAGGGAAGAGAATGTTGTGTTTATACAGCTTTGGAATACAACCTGTATTTTTTCAAAGGACAGAAGGGAAAAAACATAAACAGCAATGCTAAGGCAAACTGTCAAATGGCACATCAGAACTCTTTTTTTTTTCTTTTTTTTTTTTTGTCATTCATTTTGTTAACATCACAAGGCAGGTACATTCTGTAAACATATATGCCATACAGTACATTAACGATAAGAACATGGAAAGGAAGCCACCCTGTACTTCTTTTCTTTCTGTGTTTTTGTTCTTTCACACTGGAAGGATTGCCTGAAATCTAGGGAGAATTTTACGGTTCATGAGCTATACTTTGCTTTTAATAAAAATACAGTGATTTGCAAAAAATGGCCCCAGGTGGTGACTACTAAGTGGTGTTATGAAGAAAAGATGACCATTCACAACTCTACCAGTAGAAACTTAGAAAATAGTCACAAAATATAAAAAAGTCATTACTTTCAGGAAACATTTTGTTTTACTGCTTAGTAAAAGAGAACATCGAAAAATTATTATTATTTTACAAAAGTTAAGGCTGTCCAGATCTTTGTTGCAGAAAGTCTGCATTAAAATTATAGGTGATATTTCCTCATTGACAGCAAGTGTTTTGTGTGATAGTTCCGACCTTCTTAAGTTAGACTAGAAGGGAGAGAGAGAAAGGCCTGCTTAAGTTGTATAAAAAGTGACCGGGAAGAGTTGGTCTAAAGATCTCCAGGGAAATTTCCCTTTGAAAGTTTTAAGACATGATTTTTTTTTTTATTCTATACCTTCCTACGTACAAAAAAGAAGTACTTTGTTATTTGTTGAAATGGGAATTATATTAAGAATTTTGTTGAGGGTAGGAAAGTAGAGACACCTAACTGGGTTGTGCTCCTAACATAAAATACTTCTGCTTTTCCTTAGAAAATGCGGGAAAGTTTTCCAGATAAAACCAAAAAGATTCCATTTTTCCTTTTCATTTTGTGATACACACCAGTTATATCAGGTGCTCACTTTGCTAGCGGATCCAATATGTTGAAAGATCATTCTGGTTTTATCTTTACTGGTGAAGGTCAAGATGAAGAAATTGAGGCGCTCCCAAAAGATTGCATATCTGTAAACTTCCTGAAACCTGTACCTTAAATACGCCGAGTGTTTGCGGTTTCAATAACACACATTCATGTTGCAAAAGTACAACGTGAAACCGCTTCCCTGGGAGAGGGGTTTGTTGTAAACGGACATGAAGGGAGGTGAGACTGTTGGTAAAGGACCCTTCGGTGAGTTAAACTCTCTAGTTAGTCCAGTGAGGCACACAGATGACTAAGCCTTTAGCTGTTTTGAAGAAGAGCAACTAGCATCAATTCCCATTCTGCTGTGTTCATCTGTTTTCTAAATGGAGAGGGTGAAAGCATTTTAAAAAGGAAGACTCAGTAGGGTAGTCTGAAAGTTGCCTCCATCAACACGCTTCCTCTTTGCTCTTCTGCTAACTCGCCAGTTTACTGATAGTAATTAAATGAGAATCTTCAGTGATGTTTTGTATTTCCCTTGCAGAAAAATTCAATGCGAAGGGAAGAGAAACAGCTGCTTTTATATTTGGCCTGAAGGTTTTGCTCTAGAGATGGCAGTGTATCTTCTAGCAAACTGTCTACACAAATGTGTGTGTATTTACTTTCTTTTATAAAACAACATGCATTCTAACCGAAAGAGTAGATTTCATTTGCATGTAGAAAAAGAGCTTTACCATAAGGATGTCAAAATTATCAACATTTCAGTAAGCAGTCAAATGAAATCAACTCTAGAATTTTGAGTCTCCTTTATGCTTCTGAATAATCTGAAGATTGCTTAGGGAGCGAGCTTGGGCCTTTAGGTTAGGCCAGAAAGGAATTCCCAAGCTGCTATTCTGTACTACCTCCTGTGCTAAGTGACATCACGGCGCATTATCTAATCACTGAGAGGCAGTTATGTTTTCCTTATTTAAGGAAAATGCGTAACTATCATAAAAGTTGTACAAGGTCGAAAAGTTTTTTCTTAGTTTTTCCTATTGCACATTAAAAGAAAGGAGAAAAAAATCAAGGATAAAAACATGTCATCAAGATTTTTCAGGATACATAGGGTTGAACTGTAAAACCTTAATCATTTAAGGATCTTTAATGAAATGCCATTGAAGATCTACTTACAAACAAATGAAATAGTCCTCCTTTCCCCTTTCCTTCTCTATTTGCAAAAACTGCCCAACTTTTAGCTAAGAAAATTTTCATTTTGCAATTTCATTGCTAATTTTTTAATTGGTGTGGCTATGTAACTAAATACTTCTGTGTTTTTCAAGGGTATGATATCATACACCACAAAAGTTTGTACAGAGAAAATGCCAACAGCAATGGGAAATATCATGAGTTCACAGCCATGGCTCTATCTACATTTTCATTTTCCAGGGTAGTTCAATCTGCTGCTGTGAATGAGATTATAGGTTCCATCCCTAAAACTGCTGGCTGAGCCTGGACCTCCATTTTGAGAGGAAAATAATGGGAAAGACACAAACACATTTGCATATTCAGAGGAACCCCTGTGTACTGTGGCCATAAATAATTTGAACAAAACACATGCATCTTGTTTAAGAAAAAACTATTAAGAATTCTAATACTTAATAATAAAAGTGTAGTAAAAATTCAAATACATATAATAAGGTTATCCCTGTTCTCCACAGTGCCCAAAAACTGAGGAATGAGAGGGTATGTTGCCACTGCGTTTTAGATCTGAAATGCAGTATTGTAGTCAGGGGTGGTACATCGTTTGTTTTGAGTAATTCATTTGTTAACAGAGGTATGGTTCATTTCAGGAGTGGATATGTCCTAGAAGACAGATTTTGTTTCCCAACAGTAAGCCCAGGGATTCTAAGTCCTACATTCCACTGGCTAACTGTGCTTTTTTTTTTTTTAAACCACTCTTACTAAAGAGTTTTAATCCCCAAGCAAGAAATATAAATAATATCAAACTTCAGTTTCTTTCTTAAATAGGGCATGAAAATAACAGATTGTCAAAAACTGAAACTACTTTCTCCTATGTAGATATTTTATCTGAATGTAATTTTAGTGACTGCATACATGGACAACCACTCATTGGGGAAAATGAAACTTAGAATAGTTTTTATAGTAGATTTATAGACAGTAAAAGTGGATTTCTATACAAAGGTGCAGTTTTGTTTCATCCAGCTGTTTTAGGGGAACCTGAGGTTCAGAGAGCCAGGGGTGGATCATTTGTTTTCTCTTCTTGAACTTTCCTGTTTACACACTGATGATAAAATTATTCATTCTGTGTTCACTGAAAAATATAACTAACTTTGAGAAACAATAAAATGCTGTTTTCCCTTTCCAATTAGAATAAACATCATTTGAAGTGAAGAAATTAAAAATAATGTTTATCGCTGAGCAAGCTAAATGATTAGATGAATTTTGGTGGTTGGATAACAAAATTCTTCCATGGCCACCTTCTTTCTCATTTCCTTTCCACAGAAGTTTGACTTCATGTTCCATGGTTTTTGTTTTTTTTTTTAAAGTTCCATCTATGAGAACACAGAAAATTTTGTGCATGGTTTCCAGAATACAACGAACACCCGGGCAAACAAATTAATGTTAAGACATCTCTAATGGAAGCCACTTAACATGGGACAGCTTTATTTTATCACAGTTATAATAATTATTTTACTCAACTCCTTCCCTTTAGGTTGACTACATGCGGCTGACTCTGGGCATTTCTAGAACTGATTTCAGAACTCTTCATTGTGTTTTAGATTTCAAAAAATGCTCTTGGATATTTCAGAGTCTCCAGAAAGATTAAATAACAATGCTCTGAGAAGTTCAGTCATCTGTCACTTGGACAGCCTTTGCAGAATGGCTACTTGGCATTGGGAAGACAGGTCTTCAAGTTTTAACTTTTCTTTTTTGTATACATTAAACTTTTCTTAAAGGGGGTAGGGCTTAACCCTATATGTTGAAGTTATCTGAAACATTCTCTTTCTCATGAGGACAGAAAGAAAAGAGTACAGAAGCAAGGCCCTGTCATCACCTGGGCACGTGAGAGGAAGAGTGAACATGGTACAGCACCATCCAGGATGATGTGGCAGCATCGTGGCAACCACGGTGGGTCTTAGAAAGACTGTTCTAGAAATATGGTCATTGCAGAAATACTCCTCAAAAATGATCCCTTCATTGAAAATAGATGAACATGATCAGAAAAATCCATGACAAAGAAAGCAATATAAAATTTATGTTTTTTTTGGGGGGGGTGGAGAATAGAAACAAGGCTCATGGATTGGCCTGTCTACGTTTGGAGATCACTACTGATGCTTCAAACAAGATTTGTTTCATGTCCTTAGAAAATTTAAAATGGTGCTTCTTATAGAAAGGGTTCAGTAAAACCAGAGGAAGAGAGACAGCTGCAGATGAGCAGGTTATGGGATCAGTCCTTACACTTCTGCTGTGACAAGCACTGAGTTCCTTGCTTTCACACCCATGTCATTTCAACTGTAACAGAGGGAAAGCCAGAGGTGCACAATACTGTAATCTGGAAGCTTATGTAAGGCAGCAAAAAGCATCGCCCTAGATTGGACAGACTAAGTCAAGTCCATTTTTGGCTACACTAGCAACCAGCTAGAGCCAACAGCGTTTTGCCACACACGATATACAAAACAAAGATCCACAGTGAGGGAGGCAAGTGTAAATCAGGGACGTGGCGGTGCTGGGTGACTACATGAGGAACAGGCTACAAAATGAAAATCCCCAGTACCCATAGGTTCAATTCCAGTCCAGTGAATTAAGGCTACTAGAGAACTGGCTGATCTGAAGAGTCCATTCCAATTGAGCAGTCAGGAATTGATTCACTCTTGAAGACACAATGAAAAATTTAGAGGAAAAGCGAGTTCTTGGGGGTGGATGGGAAAGAAATGAAGCACACACATGCACGTGGTCTCTCAGGTGAGAAAAAAGAAAAAGGAAAACGTAAGAGAGGTCAAAGCAATCCAATGGCAAGGCAAGGCAGGTGTTCACTTCCAGTTCACAGTATTTGCAGTTAGTGGTACAGTGAGGTCTACGTGAGTGGTGGAGAGTACAGAGTCTGCCCAGAAGAAAGGGGAAGAAAGAAGTCACATGACAACACAGCATTGACAGCGCTTTTTCTTTTGGGTACCTGGGGCTGGCTCTGTGGCCAGGCTCTCTTCCTTGCCTTCTGGGGACGAGGGCTCTGTGGTATCTGAGGCCGGCCTGCCAGACACGAGCTCTGCTGCATTCCCGTCAATAGTGGACACGTCCGTCACTGTCTTCTCTCGTAACGACTTCTCATCGTCTTCGTCAATGAGGACCAATTCCGCCTTGATGGTTTCATCGTAGCCTAGCACCTTTTTCGTCTCTTCTTCATCCTCAATATTTTGGTAGCCCATAAAAATCATGGTGATGGGCTGATCCAAGTTGGCTTCTGGCCCTTCGGCTCTGGGGGCTTGGGCCTGCTGCCCTGGGTTCCCACAAGTGTTGTCCTTCCGAGACCTCTGGACCATTTCTAACTTGGCTTCCTTGCAGAGCATGTGTTCCTTCGGATGGCCAAGGCCTGCATCAGCCATCCCAGTCCTTTCTGATACGTGCCCTCCTTTGAAGCTTGATTGTCCAGCCTTCTGAATAAGCTCTTCAACTTCCTTTGCACTTAATGCGTGCACTCCATTTTCTACTATGGTGCCTCCTGAGTGCACCTCATACACTACTCTGGTACCATCATCATAGACTTTGACTCCTCTCTGATGGACCCCCTCTGGGCCAATGGTAGATGTAGAGAGAATCTTGGTCTCTCCTGTTTGTTTGTCTGTCTCCACATTAATTTCCATGGCGTACACAGCTTGAATGAAAACAAGAGAAAGGAAGTGCATGTTACAACAAAAAAAGCCAGTGAATGGTTAATTGCCAAACAGACAAAAAAAAAAAAAAAAGGCTCTGTGCCCTTTCTGTCCTAACTGCCAAGCATTTTGCATGTTAGTGTGAAGTGCACATTGTGGATAGAGGTGGTCGTGTATGTGTCTGAACACAGTAGCTTAACGCACTGGGAAGACAGATGAACAGGGACTGAACCTAAAATGACACTTGTACTTTTCAAGAACAGGTGCTAAAATACGGCACAAAGAAACATTAGATTCAGGTGCAAAGAATTATAGAAAGGCTGGCAACATGCAAGCTCACCTCCATGCAAGGCTTCCTAGGATTCTGACAGAGAATTCTACACCCTGAAATAAGATGTGTCCCAGTTGCAAAATCTTAAGAACCCTCTGTATCACATGTTCTCCTTTTTTTTTCCCCCTACATTTCTTCTACTGCTAACAGACAGCCTAGGCTGTTTTCCACAGGTGGCTTCCTTCCACTGTGCTATAAAATCTTTGAAAATTCAAAAAGGGAGAAAAGCTTTCTTCATCTGTGCTCTGTGTGAAGCACATCGGTCACCTAGCTTGGCTGCTAAAGTCAAGAAGCAGGGGGAGAATGAGAGCAGCAGCAGGCTGCCACACTGCAGTCTGAGGATGATAATCCTAGAAGGCTGCTTTCTTCTTGCTCATTCTTGTGAGTTGGCCCCTTCATCTCCTTCTCATCTGGCTTCTTTCTGTTCTCCTCTCACTCGCATGAGGTATTAATGTCTCCTTCCCTGGATGGTGGGAAGAACCTCCTGCTAGAGATACAGGATGCTCTAGCCTCATGTTCTCCAATTCATTTCACTCCCACGGCCAGTCAGATGTGGGCAAGCACCAGCTCTCCCTGGTGAGTCCTGGAGAGTCCTGCACTGCCTCGCCCTTCCCAATAGGCGACCTTTTATGCTCCTTTTAAGGCACAGATTCTGGATGAGAAGACACTGGATACGGATCCATAAAGCCACCAGCTCCAGGTTCCCTCTACCTGGATGACAGACTCACTAACCTCAACATTTTCAAAACTGAGGCCAACTTCTTCCCAACACTCTTCCACAGCAGTAATGACAAGTAACCCCAGCACTGCTGCCTGAATTTTCAAGCCAGGAGTTGCAGAGTCCTTTTCTCCCTACTTTCTCACTGCCAAATGATGCCCGAGAGCAACTCATCTTCTTCTGATCTCGCACTCCATCTCTTACCTCCATCTCTACCACCAGGATTGACCTAACAGCCCTGATTCTGATCTTACTGTACACTTTCTTTCTTGCCACTAAAGTCCAGAGGACTTCAAACTATGGTCAGAAGGCTAAAGGCATCATGAGGCCTATTTATGTATAGCCAGAGGAGCTAATAATGGTTTCTACATTAAAAAAAATAACATCTATTTGTTTGAAAGTCAGAGGGAAAGAGAGAAAGGGAGGGACTGATACTCTACCTGCTGGCTTATTCCTAACGTGCCCACAATAGCCTGAGATGGGTCAGGTATATGCCAGTAGTCTAAAACTCCACCCAGGTCTCTGAGGTGAGTGGTAAGGACCCAATATTTGGGCCATTATCTGTTGCCTTTTCAGCCACATTATTGGAAGCGGGATTGGAAGTGGAGGAACTGAGATTTCAACTAGCACTGTGACATGAGATGCCAGCATACCTAGCAGTGGTTTAACTGCTGTACCACAGCTTCCCCTGGCTTATACACTTTTAAATGGTAGTAAAAAGAAGGTAAGTAGGAAGGAAGAAAAAAGAGATGATGGGAAGAGAGGAAGAGAAGGAAAGAGAACAGGAAGGGGAGAGAGGATAATAGAGAAGGGAATAAAGGGGGGAGAAGTGGGGAGGGAAAGGAAAGAATAGGGGAGGTAGAAAAAAGAAAGAAATGGAAAGGAAGGGAGGATGGAATGAATATAGATAAGCAGGATGAAAATGGAAAGGAAAGGAAAAAAAATATGTAACAAAGACCATACATGATCCATAATGTCCAAAATGCTTCTAACCTGGACATTTATAGAAAAAGTACACTAACTCCTTCCAATTGGGACTCCATCTTGCCCACGGACACCCCACCCACAAGCCCTCTGTCTGATTCTTATCTGCACATAATCAACAAACTGCCTAGCTTGGCACATAGCTCACTGTGGAATTCATCCATAACCTTTCTTTTCTGTATTTTCTTTCAGACCCTCTTGTTCTCCAATACAAACTCTGGCCAAAACAGCCAACATTTTTCTCTAGGACTCCACTCAGAATTCCTGCATGTCTGCTTCTCTAGGACCTGCCATCCCTCTGCCTGGATGGAGTTTGACCCCTTCTCTGCTGGCAGGCTCCTAGCACCCTAGGCCACATGCCTGCTTACCTGTTTTGAATAGCTACAAATTCCCAGCTGTGTTAGGAAGCTGCAGACTCTCTGAAATCATGTGTTTTTTCACTTTTTTTTGGGGGGGGGGGGTCACAAATGATGAATACCAGCCATGCCTAAATACTTAAACACGCTTTACTTTTGTTAAGATTCCCTTCTCCAGAAATATCCCTTTGAGTTTTAAAGATTTATTTATCTATTTGAAAGGCAGAGTTATAGGAGGAGTGGGGAGGGTGGGGGAGAGAGAGAAAGAGAGAGAGAGAGAATGAATGAATGTGCAAGAAGTGTCTTCCATTTGCCAATTCATTCCCCCAAACGGTTTCAACAGCTTAGACCAAACCAGGATGAAGCCAGTATCTTGAAACTCCTTCTAGTTCTCCCACATAAGTGGCAGGGGTGCATGTTGGCCATCTTCTGCTTCTGCCTTCCCAGGCCCATCAGTAGGGAGCTGGATGAAAGTAGAGCTGCCAGGACTCAAGCCAGTGATCCCAATGTTGTATGTGGTTGCTTAACCGATTATGCCACAACATCAGCCCCTTTTTGAGTTTCTACACATCCAAATCTGGTTCACTCTTCCACAAACTTTCTTTTATTCTCTCATCTCTTCCTTCTTTAGAGTCTCCAAAACTCTTCCTTAGCCTTTGTGAGAACACTTAACAACTTCCACTCAGTAGCATAATTATTTATAGGACTTTCAAAATCAAGCTACACGTTTTTACATCCTTAAGGGCTACTTTCTTGCCTGACATCTTTCTCTGGTTCACGTTCCTTGCTACACCCACCTTAGAGACTGCCCCCCCTGCCCAACACACACACTCCTGTGCAACAAATGGGACTCACTGGAGAGCCTCACCTGGTTGTCGTAATTAGTCACAAATACTTTGTATAATAGGGCAGCAATGAAAAGGTTCATGTGGTCATTCATGTTTGAACTGGTATCAGAAATCAGAAGTGACATTCTTCTATTTGCTTGTATAATAGGACACGATTTGCTTATGGTTCATCTTTAAGAAGACTATGGAATAAAATATACATCATATCCATTTCACTTGTTCAATGTAAAGCTCTTGAATTTCCTCAAGTGCTACAATAGGAGGCCACCCCGTATTTGTCATAGAGGAACATGTGCTCACACACAGAGACACTGATATTGGAAGAATTATTTATCTCAGTTGTTTGAGTTTCCACAAAATTTGCCACAGGGAAATGAATATGTGCTTAATATTCTGTATAGACTCCAAAAGCCTGTTCTTGAACTGTTTTAGCTATATTAAAAGTTACAGCTTTGGGGTGTTCTATCACAAAAAGCCACACTTGTAGGACATATTTATAAATAAATTCATTAATAGTTAATGCTTGTGATTATTATTCATGATTGTTATTTTATAGGTATAATAAGTTTTCCCCTAAATACTCAGTAATATGTGAACGAAATGACACCATTAATCTGCAATCAAAATAGAATATAGTACAAAGGACTCCATTTCCATCTCCATATGTGTTAGAGGGGATGAAATGTGTGGATATAGCCCACTTCCTCTGCCCTCCCATGAGAATGCTGACACGGGTTAGTCCAATTTTGTCTTCTCTGTCATCCTACCGCCCAACCTCATGTTGATTTTGTCTGTTCCTAGTATTGGAGACTGGACAGAAAGAATGAGGATGAGAAGTTCTTTGCTAGAAAGGTTAAGTAAAGTCAAATAACAAAGACGTGGGAAGGGGCAGATAATGTGAAAATATAAACAGGGTTCTCTGTGTTGGTGGATGACACTTTGGACAGCACGTTGTGTGGCAGGAAGAAAACGGAAGCTGAGAAGGACTGGTGGGTGGAGGACTGAAGCAGGTCATTTTGACTACCTTTGGAGACACAGATGAAGAAACAGAACCTTTTAAAATGGTTTTTGGGTTTAAAATTTTAAACTTAATTAAAGGCGACATGCCTCTGAACTACTTGTCACATAGTTTCATTACAGTTACACATTTCTGTTTGGATACTATACATAACTTAATCAGTGTCTCTAGATTATGAGCATTTTAACCCATCTTTATAATAAAATAAACTAAGATATATTATGCCATAAACTGAAACAGCATCTTGTAGACATTTCCACGGATAAAACGGGAGGCTTAAAAGGAGCCATAAAGTTTCAGCAGGGTCCTTAAGGGTGTGTTCCTCCATCCATTTCTGCATTTGCCTTTGGTAAGCATTTTTACACAGGTAAACACTTGGAGACACTCTGCATCAATCTGCAGGCAACATTTAGCCTTCATGGACACATGTGTGTATATTTAGGCATAAAAAAACCCACACAGGCAGTGTGAATGCTTTCCATACACATGCTCTCTGAGTAAGCATTCATACTTCGCTTCAATTCTCAGCCAAAAATATCTTAACGGTATATGTGAACCAACCAGAGAATAAGTTAATTTTAAAACCCAACATTTTGTGTTCAAGCTTTTCTGCTCTCTAATGTTGCCAAGCAGTTCACACCAAAGGCTGAAGTTCTCTCATTCCTCTTTCACCCTTGTCCTGAAATCCTAACTAGAATATTCTGTAGCCTGTCCTTGCCTTTTCCCAAGCTCCCATGCCAAAGATAT